TCTCTAAGGGGACGGCACAAAAAGAGGCTTAGAAATCATGGAGGCAACGTTAATCAAAAACTGAAAGTAGTGACTATTGCCCAACCATTAACGAACACCAAATGTACAATGTAGAGTACTGAGTGTCCATTGCGTAAACTGGTTTAGATTATTACTCTACTCTGGTTGGTAATAAGTAAATCTGGCTAAATAACACATCTAAGCAAATGAACAAAGGATGCGAATTTGCAAAGTGTAATAGCTTTAATCTATATCTAAAAGCGTCTTAAAAGGTAATCGTATGTTATTGAGTTGCAAACTTACAGTTCTTGCAGGCTGAATAACTCTGAAAATAGTACTTCTGGTAGCACTTCTATTTCATTATCTGTGATATTACTAGTGACAACAAAGAAAATTGTTTACTATAAGGGTGCATGTAATAGAAAGAAAAGAATGCTTTTTTTGCATCACTCCTAATACTGGTGGAAGAGGGCTGGGCAGGAAAAATCTACCCTGGTAGCCTGATAATTAGTCTAGTAGTCAAGGAAAAAGAAAAGAGTAGAAGAGCAAGGTAAAAAAAAAAGAAAAATAAAGATAAAAATAAATGTAAAGGCAAATTGGGTACGTAGAAAACTAGGCGAAAAGCACCTTTTTTTCTTGTTCTGTACGTTCAAACTTTCTGAGGACCAGCAACAAATAAAAACATTGGTACAGCACAAACCCAAAAAATTACCTTGGTTTTGTTTAAACTTTGGATAAAAAATAGTATCTGTATCTTCGATAATAGGCAGAAAAACATTAACAGCAAAGATTTAAATGCCATATCATGTCAAAAATCACATTTCAACAGGCTCCTCAATAAAATGTTTCTCTTTTTTAAACCGTACTCGAGACGCCCATTTCTCCGCTGTTTTTGTCATTTCGCCCAAAGACCCCTAGACAGGAGCCTGTTGACAGACTTTGACAAAAGCAGCCTTGTTAGTTGCCACTTACAGGTATTTAAGCGCAGTCATGTGACGGAAGGCTTCTTTAGGCAAATATCTCATCTTCATCCCCTTTATAGTGCTAATTCAGTGAGACATACACAATATTGCTATATGAACATCAATGACACTTGGAATAGTTTAGGGATGCAGTGTGTATCAATTGGGTCTCTTAGGGTATTTCTCTCATGAGCAGAATGTTATTGGCGGCAAAAGACATTTAGACGGTACTACGCATGAGCAGACCATTATTTGTAGGCAGTTATTTGGAGGTCACGCGGTGGGCTTCGGACAAATGAAAAGTAGGAAACAATGCATCGAATGATAATTATTATCATAGGTAGTTAAATTATTATTGACTAATAAAATATAATTTAGATAATTTCATCCAATTAAAGTCGCCTGAAAATTAAGGCTTATTTAAGAGAGTGTTTCTTTGTTCAGAACTCGTTTGCCTCAGAGTTTGAACAAAATCTTCTTGAGGCTAACACTTTTTAATATGTTTTATCCGTCTCTTGATGCCCTGACATCCACAGAGTGTATTTACCAGTAATTATAAGAAATCTATAACTTTTATCTGTCCTGAAAAAATTAAAAGAAAATTATAAGAAAAGTAGATGAGCCTTTTGAGAAAAAAATCCAAATGGGTCGTAAAATCACGGTTGGTGTACAATGTACTTACAGAGTTGTAGCCGTCGATGGAAGACACTTTAAGATATCAACTGATGAATCTGACCCATCACACCAAAATTCATTTTCAACTTGATTGTCCATTGTTTTACCATGGCTAGAACACAGATTTCCGCAATCTAAATGTAAATGAAGGAATTAATCACTATTATATTATTTATTTGATGAAGGGGAAAAGAGTTTCATAACAAAACCAGGGGTTATCATTGCAGCTACTACAGCAAACTACATCTTACCCACAATAGTAACTGATAGGTCTCTGGAGTCGGTACCAGCTTCATTACTTGCCACACACGAGTAGATTCCAGTTTCATTTAATGCAGTCATTACCAAGCCAGTCCCATTAGCCAAGGACGTGGAGTTCTTAAACATGGATATGTTGATAGGTGGGGATCCTTCCGCAAAACACCAAACTAAGTGACCTGGCGCTGCTCGCACAA